AAATAGGAGAAAGCCAGGGTATGTGCAAATAGTCATCAGCTGTATGAAATTCCCTTGTAGAGAAGGTTGTTAGTGGCTTCCTATGTCCTTGGTGTGTAGAAAGAGGAGTTGTGAACTTGAATTATAGACAGAAAGATTGAGACAGGTTATTAAGAAAGATTTTTCTAATAGTAAAGAACGTAGAGTACCGTAAAACTCTGGAGATTCTTGAAAACATTTTAGGCAATGAGAGAGACTCCATGTGTCCCCAGGCAGTGATGTTAGGAATAACTTAGATGTCCTGCCTTGGAGAAGAAAATAAACTAGGTAACCTCTTGATGTCTTTTTCAGTCCTGTGTTTTTCCTCTATAGTGGGTCACATTTGGTTCCAAGTTAATGCAACTTTTCATATCTTAAGGTGGAATAAGAGAACGAGGCTGGTTCCCTAGGAAATGTGTGGAAAAATGCCCATATGACTCTGAAACGGATCAACCAGTGGATGGAGAGAAGAAAAACAGATAGCCTTCTCAAATTTTAAATAAGAAATGGAATTTTTTACTTCAGACCACAATCCTTTACTTGAAATTTTCTGTATATTACTTTAGACTTATGCAATGAATATGTTAGGACAAGGTTTTCTCTTCCTCACAGTTGAAAGGGTTTGATATGCCTGTGCCATGTTTGCATACTTTTTTTAATAATCGAAGAAGCCATTCAGTGGATTGCCTTCAAGATGCATCTTTTTCATCCTGTCAGGACTTTTTTTCTTTTTGCTGTTTAAATTGCATTCTGAGAGTTCATACTTTAGGTTTTTTCCTCAACTGCATCTGATTGTGATGCGTGCTGCCTATCTTTTGTATTTTACTTTCTCTGAAGCTGCCCCTGAAAACTATTAAAATAAACCTCTGATTCAAATTCAAGATAAGATTTGTTACCTGTGACTTTTAATGATGTGAATTGTCCACCTCAAATAAATGATACATTCATATTCACTTGTGGATTTAATTGTTCTTAGACCTACAAGAACTTGTTTATAGGCATGGGAATATGAACTGATTGGGAAGTAAAGATTTCACTGTTGTAAGTTATTTTTCAAGGTTAGAAAGACTTCAGCTCTTGTTATAAGAAGAGTCTTGTGGTTTTGATGGGAAAAAAAATATAGCCAGCTATATCTGCTTCCTCTGAAATCTGAGCATGTACCTGGAGATTAGAGTTCTTGATCCATCTTAGAGCAAAAGGAAGCAGTAGGGCCAAGAACAAATATTTTTGCGAGCCTAGTTGCTACTAAGTGATTAACACCTTTCCTAAAGCATTTTTATTTAGCATCAGGTATGGATTACTAGAAGGAAGACCTCAAACTGGGGTAATCTGTACCCTCTGAAAGCTTTCTAAATGTATCCTAAATGCAACAGGTGTTTTTGTTCTCTCAGTCTAGTTGCATGTCACATATTGAGAGTTTTGCAAATTACTGTTTTAAACTAACACCAGTTTTACCTCCACCTGCATGAGTTATCTCAGGCAGATGATCATTTCTCAAACAACATTACATGTATATAGAAATAAGTACATGCAGACAAGCCAGCATTACTCCTGTAAGCTCCTACTCAGACTCTTTATCTCCAGCATAAAGCCATTTTTTTGTAGCTTCCAGCCTGCTGTGTGTTAATGCTGATGGTGAGCCATAATCCTAGGCTGTTTATGAGCAATGGCGAATTAATGTTCAGTTTCAGCAGTTTGCAAGCAGGCGTGTTGCCCCTCTTGAAATCAAAGCACTTACTTTCTAGAAGTAGGCTTCATTAGAGGTATAGGGGTGGATCAAACTTCTCTTTTCCCTGCTAGCACTCTCCCTGGTAGCAAGGGCTGAAAGGCCATAATTCAGCAGAATGTAGCCAATGTGGAAGTTGGTATGAAAACCTCCAAAATCCTTGGGATAATCTTAATCTCAACTCCAGTAGTTTCTGTTCAATGTCTGGAGTCTAGAACCACACAAGATTACAAAAATAAGCTTGTCTTTCAGCTGCAGAAGCTGGCAGTTAAGGACCTCTTTTCTTGACTTTGGAATTATTAAATAGCTGCTATCTTATATTAGCAGGCAGTGATTAACAGTGTAACAAACTGATGAATCAACCACAGTGGGTTGATTGCTGTTAGGAGGGAAATTTATATAAACTGTGGTCTGTTTGTAGGGGACTGGATTTCTTTTAGTGGTTGAAGAACATCTTCGGCTGGTTTTCAGCTTTCATCTAAGCAGAATTTTGTGCACCAGGATCACTACACTGTGAACTACTGCATGCTCCAGAGCTCTGCTTCAGAAGGGCACTTAGAAACTGAAATAGACTCTACCTGCTTTTCTTTTTAAGCTTTCAGCTTGTTTCGTTGTAGCTGTAACTTCAGTCCCACCTCTTTCCTTTTGTATCACAGGTAACTGGTGTTTCTATTTACCATTAGAACACCTTCACTAAGCAGTGCTTGCCTACAAAGAATTGGCCAAAACAAAATGTATTCCTCCTAAAGTCATCTGGAGATTCTGTGGCCAAGAAAAATACAAGCTGTTTTTCCATTGCTGAAAACTGTATTACAGCATGAAGTTTAAAGACAAACCACCTCTAAGGAACTCTGTTTTTAATATGAAATTTTCTTTTCCTTCCTTTCTACCATCCCATTCTACCTTTTTTTTTTTTTCTTCATTCCATAGTCCCTCTATTTTGCTTGAGGAAGACCTTTGTTTGTTAATTAAGGAAAGGAACAGGTATAGATTTGACATAGCTGTTTTGTGTTGTGCTCAGAGAATTCATCAGGGAAGTAAGTTGATTTTCTTCTAGGTTTAAATCCCCAGCAAAGCCAGGTCTGGGGGAAGCAAAAAGCAAGTGTCTTTTTCACACAACAGTTAGTTCTATTAAACTGGCTTTTGCTTTTCCCTGAGGGAAGAATTGCTATTTGTGTTTAAAATTGTGAGCTTTGCATCTTTTCCATCATCTAGCAGAAAGTTTAGACTTGCTGTGCCACACTAGGCTAACTCAGGCTGTCATATGATGTAAAGTAAGGGTAACTGCATACTGAAGTGGAACCCTGCCCTCCTATTTAAAGGAAAACAATGAAATAGGCTAATAAGAAATAGCCACTTACTTTAGTTCAGGCAGTTTTTGCACCAGAACCTGCTATAAAAGCAAACAGTACTGGCCATGCTAAACGGACATCTCAGGCAGCCTGTTCCACCACCAAATCAATGAAAATTTTGCTTTCTATTCACCTGCCCTTGCCTTGGTCTCCAATCCAAAAAGGCTCTCCTTTGCAGAGTCAAGTCAGTGACTATGCCATATGTCTCAGTTGTTAATGAAGAAGGGTCTAGATTACCATATACAACAGGCTCTGCAAAAGACTAGCTTTGGTATTCTCATGCCTAGTAACTTTGAGGTGTTTACCAATAGTAAAAGAAATCAATGATGAAAGAGTTCTCTCCTCTGCAATAGTCTTAACCAAGAGGCTTCTGATTTTAGTCCAGATCTCTTAAGAGTTAAGTAAATACACACTCATGCTGGAGTTTAAGTATCTATCTCCCACATAGTTAGTTTTTTAAATGCAAAGTAGTGACTAGTGGGAGAAAAGAGAACTTTTCACACTAGGAAGCCAGGGAGCTGCACGTTGTTTAGATTTTACAATTCAGTTTCCTAGCTATGGCAGAGGATGATTCTAGATCTGTCTTGTGCTCATTGATTGAAATAAGGACCTCATTAAAGGCTAATGATGAATTAAGAGTCAAGATTTCCCTCTGAACAATTCTTCTCAGGATAAGGACCAAAAGAAACTAACCAGTAATTAAGTTGCAGACACAGATGTTGTTCCATAAAGATGGAAAGGAAATACAGTTAACAAATTGTATTTTAGTATGCAAGTCTTACATGATTTGAATAGCCTGAATCAGACAATCTAATTCCTGGTGCAGTGCATATGAGAGTAAAAAGTATTCATAAGTATGAAGTATTCATATCTAATAGATCATTATTAGTCATGGTATCGCTTGTTATTCAGCATGTGTGCACATCTATGCTGCAGCCAAAAAGGATCAATTCATAATGGATAGCTACTAGATGAAAGCTTTTTAAAGAAAGTAGAGAAGACTGGCTGTTATTTTTAGCTGCAATCCCTGTATCATGGGGAAAAAAAAGCTGCAGCAATCTGACCTGCATTGCATCTATAACCATCCTTACCTCAGATCTTTGTTCACTGGGTATTGCAGTGCTTCAAGCCTGCTGTAGGTAGCTTTCGCTAGTTCTCAATATGTTGAAATAAATTTTGTATCATTTCAATGCAAGCATGCCTAAAGTGCTCCTGTTTTTCACTGTAGATTAACACTGTGGAAGCAGTTCATATGGCACCCAAGAGACCACTCACCAAGTCACTCACACAGGCTTTGGTTTGATTGTGCAGTTACAATTTATTGCATCCTAGGAATGACAGCTAAAGTTTTCCACTTACCAGGCTCAAATTCATAAGTGTAAAGGCTTTATAACTGCCATTGCATTTGAGAACATGTGCAAAAACTGATCCAGTGCCTCCCCTACTAGAGTATAAACTACATTTGCTTTAGACTCATTTTCATTAAAAACAAATCTACAGTTTGTGCTGCAGGCCTAGGAACAGAAAATTCACTTCTGTAGTTGCTGACCAGATGTTAAGCTCCAATTCATATTGTGACAGCTTGAATTGAGACAGGTTATAGCATCCTGAGTGGAAAGTGAAGTGTTATTTTCTTGCACTTCGTTTTCAAACTCCCCCCCCACCCCCTCCCCATGTAACTGCATGAAAGAATTCAGTCTGATTGCAGATCAGTCCACAAAAGGTAGCAATGGAGTACATAGTTGGAGCAGGAGAAGAGGATTTGTGTTTGACAGAAGTGCATACAGCTGCCTTGTAAAGGCTGAGGCTCTTGAGTGTTTTTGTGCTTTATTCACAGTCCAAGGAAGATGGAAGTTCTGGCTTTGCCTAGGCAGCTGATGCTTAGTCCTGCAAGATGTGAACACTGCCAGTTGTCAGTTACACTACAGCCGTCTTCATCTGAAAGTCATTTTTCCCAGGATACCAGAAGCAATATATTTAAGTTCTTGCTCTGATACACTCATGTGTGTTTTCCATAGGTCATGTAGTGTCACGGATATGTTTGGGTACTCCATGCAGTTTAATTGCAGTTAGCCACTTATTCCTGCATACTTGAATAGAGGGCCTCAATCTGCTTCTGGAAGAGTTTAACAAGCTCTGCTCGCTTTGCCTTCAGTGTTGGTGTCAAGAGTCCATTTTCTACAGAGAACATCTCTGTGTGGATATACAGGTCTTTAACCTATTAAAAGAAAATAGTTTGGCATGTGACACATAATTACTTAGAGAACAAACAACAGTTCTTCTAAGCTTCCTTGAGCTCCGTGCAAGAATTCACTTCATCTCAGGAGCTCCAGTAACTAAACTGTCTTTTGATACAAGTCGAACTCCTTTTGGCTGACACAGCAGGAGGATAGGCTGGAACTACAGTACAGCTCCTGCAGCCTATGGTGAACCTCTACTCCATCTCTTGGCAATTGCTACTGTTGCGCTGTACAGCCACCTGTCTCTTGGTCAAGAGACAGGCAGCCAGTCAGTGTTTCACAGCCTACTTCAATCAGTTGTGCAGGGCAGCTGTCTTGGGTCCCATCCTGGTACAGCAAAAAGGAACAAAGACTTCCCAGCCTCTGCATTAGCAATACAGGTGCTTGTGACAAGCAGGATTTGGACATACTCACTTGTTCAAAGGATTTAAGGCCAGCCTCTTTCCCCAGTCTGACCATATCTTCTAAAATAGCTTTCTTCACTGCCTAGAAGAAACAGAGCAGGAGCAGAGCTGCCATTTTGTAATTGCAACTCAGGACCATACCCATTGCCCAGTCAGTGAAAACTGAGGTTGGCAAGAATACATGTACATATTTCAACATTCAAGGTTTCTCATATTAAGGCCACTACAAGATCATGTCTATCGTCTCATTTGAAAATAAGCAGTGATAGCCTTTGAAACATCAAGAGACACTTAGTTCCAGTTTTTACTGTAAGGCTTCTTGTATGAGTCACCCAGCATTAAGCCAGCTTAATTTACAAAAGAGGTGGGTAGAATGAAGTCAAAGCAATGCAAGATTGGACTCACTCGTAATTAAATTCTATCTATAACCCACCAAAACCATAAAGCCACTCACTGGATTTTTGCAGACATCTTCATAGGAACCTTTTATTCCCAGTTTTGCTGCAAATTCTGGAAGTGTCTCAGGATCAGGAACCACTATACCTATTAGAAAAGACTGAAGACAAGTGGAAGTAGTCATGTTGAGACCAAAATAAGGCATCTGAAATTACTTTGATTGTCTATGTGAACTTGATTATGGACAGTGTCTATAACAAGCCACATCTACAGCCCCATTCATTTCCAGAGTTTGGAAGATAGCTACAAGGACTTTCAAATAACTTATCTGAGTTCTGACAGCAATAATTGAAGCACTAACACAGTTTATTGTGTGCACTGAATGCTCGAGCAATTATTTTTGTCTGGTTTACAGATTGAAGACTGGCCTCTGCTAGCATAGGTGACACCTCTGTGGCAAAGGAGTGGAGAAATGCCCCAGCTATGAAGAAAGACCAAGAGAGTTGGGGTTGTTCAGTCTGGAGAAGAGAAGGCTCTGGGGAGACCTTACTGCAGCCTTCCAGGACTTAAAGAGGGCCCATAAGTAAGATGGGGACAGACTCTTTAGCAGAGCCTGTAGTCATAGGACAAGGGGTAATGATTTTAAACTAAGAGAGCAGATTTTGACTAGATGCAAGGAGGAAATTTTTCACAATGAGGGGGGTGAAACCCTGGCACAGGTTGCCCAGAGGGGTGGCAGGTACCCCATCCCTGGAAACCTTCAAGGTCAGGTTAGGGGCTCTGAGCAACCTGATCTAGCTGAAGATGTCCCTTCTCATTGCAGGGGGGTTGGACTAGATGGCCTTTAAAGGTCCCTTCCAACCCACACTATGCTATGATTCTAAACTGTACAAAGCTGACCTGGCATACTATTCCCATACAAGTATGTGATTAGCCTTTACCCAGCTTGCAACTTAATGCCAAGATCTCCTTTTCTTTGGTGTCAATTGGGAAGGCTACAGGTCTGAAAGGATATTCCTGTAAACCTGGCACTCTCTGGAACAGATCTTCTTCAAGGACTCTTGTAAATGCATACATTTGTACCCTGGTCTTCCAGAACTCATTGTCAGAGGAATCTTGTAGGATGCTCACTCCTAACATCACTTACCTTCAGGCTTTCCCCATGCACAAAGACCTGAGCTACAGGACCACTTCTGATATAGACATTTTCTATCTTCTCTGGAGCAATGTATTCTCCTTGTGCAAGTTTAAATATATTCTTCTTTCTATCAATGATCTTCAGTGTTCCATTCTACAAGTTAAAGGTAGAGGCCATTAGTTTCAAGTCTGTCTTGCTTCTATAAGAAGTAGAAGGTAATAGGTTTGGTTTTGTTGTATGAAAGGCAAATGCTAGTCTAGAACTGGTCTTTGCTCTCTACAGACAGAAGGGCCACTTTGTCTAATTTGTCCAGTTAGCTCAGGACATGATTAGACAAAGATTAGATTAAAGTAGCTGCTTTATTCTCTTCTGACAGAAACCAAGACACATTGTTCTTCACTGTGGAAGTGACATAGTCTTAACTACTGGCCTAGCAGGTGTTATTTGAGATCTTGTAACCTAATGGGTCTTTAGAGCTTTGCCTGGAGTTACTTGGTGAATGATAACAAAATACCATGTTAAGGCTTTTATTCTAGAGCTCACTTCTCCAGCTTTTCAAATTACTGTAAGCTAGCCAGGAATTGACATCCAACGGTTGGTTTGTATTAAGCAATTACTCACTGGCAACCATTTCCCTATGTCTCCAGTGTGGAGCCATCCATCGTTATCAATTGCTTCTGCTGTCTTCTCAGGGTCTTTCAGATAACCCTTGAACACATTTGGTCCTTTAATGCAGACCTATAGCAAGCACAGAACATTGTTAGTCACCAAGTCTTACGTTTCAGCATCTCCTGACACACAGAGGAAACGATACCTACCTCGCCTTCATTGTTAGAAGAGAAATAGTTCATTTCTTCCACATCATCTAGTTTTATGATATTACAAGCCAGAGGGGCTCCAACATGGCCTAAGAGAGAAAAACAACAACAAGGACAGTTATGTTTTGGGGATTCTGCTAGCAGTTGGTCCTGTTTGAGCTAAAGCTAGAAAGACTAGGTCTTGAAGCAAGATGGGAGAACTCAGGTGCCCCCTACGTATGAAGACTTCAGGCATAGTAGATACTTAATGGCTATTTGTTCACTGCTTTAGCAAGAACCAGTACTGTTTAAAGGAGTCTGACACCGCATGTTCAAGAAAGTTATTGTAATGCCATTTTCATAGAGTTAATGCAGAAGTATTAGCTAACCCTCAATGCTTAGAGCCATTTATTAGTGTAGTCTACCACACCAACCATGTAACACACTTGCCTCCACAGAATTCCCTCATAGACCCTGGTATTCATTTGCATTTCATCCTCATTATGCTCTGCAGTTATTATGTCCTCAAAGATGGTGAACTTAGAATAGCCAATATTCAAAACATTCTTGTTAAGATGAAAGCTAAATCTTCAAGGAAAATAGTCAAGTATCATGTCTGATGTTTTAGTCATAATTCTTTGAATAAAACAAGTTATTTGGGATCTAAAGCTAGTTTCTTAAAGCCATTTGGGAAAGTCCTTGTCCAGTTCGCTCAACTCTGTACAGACACTCCTTTCCTGTACACTGGGACAAAGTCTAAGCTGACTTATGTCACTTTACACAAGAGTCCCTCACCTGCTCGAGTTAAGAATTTTGGTACCTATTAAGCATACAGGAGACTATTGCTTCCAAGAATGACTTTGAGGTTAAGTACCCAGAATTTAACTTTAATTGAACTAAAAGCAGTAGAGCACCTAAGCTTGCGTGCCACTTTGTTGACAGCTGTGGGAGTTTCCAAGTCTCAGCTACCATACCTGTTGTCCAGTCTCCAGGCATTGAGAAGGTACATCCAGCTGAGCATTCAGTCTGGCCATAAGCTTCAAAGATCTGTGGGAGAAAGGATGAATATCCTTTTGAACATGAAGTTGTTAGTGTGAAAGAGCTCAGTTTCAACTATGACCATGCACAAGTCGTCTTAGGAAAGAAGACAATCATCTTAGCCTTTTAAGACTTCTTGGTCTTATTGGTGTAACCAGATGTTCATCTATCCAAACTTTGCTTTGGTCATCTCATTCTCTGAACTCTGTTCTCAAATGTACTAACATTGGGAGCTCATTGACAGTCAGGATAAGCCATAAAGCCCAGAGGCAGCTGCCTCTGGGCGCTGCATGTTCCTGTTTCTGCTGCTCTATTCCTTTTCCCAGACCCTACACTGTATTTTTTTGGTAGTGTAGTTTGAAGCCAGGCCTGCAGAATTTTGTTCCCATTACAGTTAACTAGGATCAAGCAGCCTGTAAATACTGAAGACTGACAGCAATCTCCCCAGGAACAAACTGGGCTGGACCACAGCTGTATCACTGGTCATTTATTTGGGCATAATCAAACCGGTCTTACTTTAAGAAAAAAACCTCAGCTTACCTGACAGCCTAATGCTGCTCTAAGAAATGTCAGGACAGAGGGAGATATAGGGGCTGCGCCTGTTACCATTATACGCACTCTTCCACCCATGGTTTCCTACAAGTGAAATAGAAGCCATCAGTTCCTCCAATACTACATTGCTCAGGTTACTTACACTTGGAATAACTTACCTGAACCTTTTTGAAGATTAGTTGATCCCAAATGCTGTCATTTCGAAATATGCCCTGTTTTATTTCAGCCGTCTTCATAGTCACAGCAAGGTTTAACAGGCAACGTTTCACTGGGCTTTTTGCACCACTTTGTATCTGTAAGGAAAATTATCTGTGACTCTTGGGTTTAACTCACATCTGTACCTCCAGTTCTCGTTTTGTTATGAGGCACCGTATCTTACTTTGATGTTCTACAATCTGTCTTCACTATGGCCGTGGTCTAGGAGATGAACCAAAGAGCAATACTAATTTGTGTTACTGTTGACATACTTCAGCCATAGCTTTGAGGGATAGGGATCCTTCTAGCTGTGCACTTGCTTCATTTGCATTCCAAAAGTAAACAAACTTTCTGTCTCTGAACAGCAACAGACTTATCCAGTCATGACTGGATACGCTGTTCTCATACTCCAGTTCCCAGGACTCTTTCCATCTCCTCAGAAAGAATTTTAAAGAATTCTTCATGCTAAGGAGTAGTTAACTAGTGGTGATGTTATGATGTGTTCAACATGAATTTAAACTTGTATGCTTGCTTAGATATATGCGCACTAAGATAATTGAACTAAAATTGTTCACATACCTTGTCATATATTCTATTGAGCAGTCTTGGTACAACTGGAAATAGCGTTGGCTTCAAGGTTTTCATGTCATCTGTTAGCAGCTTGATGTCTCCTTGGAAGAAGCCTACTTTTGCTCCACAGCTGTAGACCACAGTCTAAAAATTGACCAAACTATGTTTAGTCAAGGATCATTCCTAGCTTCATTAGCCATTATTTGTCTATGGAAAGCGGCATGATTTCCAGTGCCCGGTGGTAGGAAAGTTCTTGTATGAATAGGTTTTGAGGAAATACAGAAGGCTATCATACCTTTTATTATAATTTGATTTATGGAAGCTCAGATGCATAGATTAAGTTCTGACATACAACTTTGATTTGTAGTCCACAAGCACCACAAAACAAAGTTTCATGTTATGGTTGAATACAATTAATATGAGCTTCACCACATTTGTAATAGCTGTTCTATTTTGATATCTTTTGAGATACCTAGAAACTTAAATACAAGGCAACAGATTTTAACAGCTTGACAAGGAATAGAACAAGACACATTCTGCTTTAAATAGTGGGTGAGGAATCCAGGTTAAGATACTGTTCTGGAGACCATCACATGTAGAAAAGTTAGATCCTGCCAGAGATGCTAGTGTTCCCTGTAGGAAGCATTACTTATACAACATGCTGGAGGAAGTGCATTAATTGGAAGACTAGAACTTCAGCTTAGGAAACAGATAGGCAGGATGACACAGCCCAGCAGAGTAAACAGAGAAGAACATACCACTGTTTACCTTCGAGTACTTAAACTGCTTTCACTATGCTTGACTAAGGTCTTGATGCTGTTAATCTCCCCTGCTGATTTCTTTAGTAAATCACAGACTTAGTGAGGCTGAAGAACAAAGCTTCATTTAATGAAGACAGCAGCCATATCTTGGAGCAATTACTAGGCATTATTTAGTCAGTTCAGGGTTTTATTTTAGGTAGGTGGTCTTAACCATTTAGGTATTCTAACATATTAGGCTTCTAACAAGTGTTACTGTCTGAACTAGTTCATACAACCAAGGTCTTCTACAGAAGCTTAGCAGCATGCACAGAGTCTACTTACCTGTACAACTCTCTCAAACATGTGAGCCAACGGAAGGTAGGACATGGTGATATCTGAACTTGAACACTCAACTATGTTCTAGAGGGGAAGGACATAGAAGCAGGTTAGCACTCCCTATGCCTGCTTGAGTTACTCTTAAGTAGAAAGATAATAAAGTTTGGATCAGTTTGAGTACTTTGAAATAGACACTTAAAATGACTGAAGCAACTCGGGCTTATCCATCACCTCTTCAAAATTTGCAGCTGTAACTCAGCCGCATTAGATCAAGATGAGTTTTATGTTTTGGCAAGACTTGAAATAGGGTAGTTTAGTAGTCTTGGCATTTAGGACTGACTCATTCTAGACTAACTTCTGTGTGGAAGTTCTTGTTCAGGGTTAAACCAAGTTTCTTGGTTGTCCCATTAAAATATGGGCACTTAGGAAAGCATGAGTTTGCTGGGAGTGAATGGTTTGCAGAAAATGCCCACATTAGTTTCACGACCGAGTGGCATGGCCTAAAGATCACCATTAGCAGTAGCTTACCTCTGTGCTTCTAAGGAATGCAGCAGCATTTGCAACAACATTTTGATGTGTCAGCATGGCTCCTTTAGGGTTACCTTTGGAGAGATCGAGCAAAGTCAGATGTGGCTCTGACTGCTTCTGCTGTCAGTTTCCCGTGTCTTGTTTCGCTCAGTTTGAACTATCCTGGTATTAGACTTGGTCATAGCATGCATTGTCTTAAGAGATCACAAATATGCCTCATCTTGAGCACTTTCAGCTATGGATATTACATAAAGGAAATGTCTACTGAAACAGCAGAGTAATTAGGAGTAGCATAGAGAATGCTGAAACAAGATGTTTCTCTAGCCCCTGTGGATCAGAATACAGACACAGTTAAGCAACCATCACTTTAACATTAAGACTGTATTATTCATAGGGCAAGACAACATGAATTTGGCTATTCTTCCCCCCGGCTCTAAGAAGCTTTGTCTTAGTGTACTTGACTTGTAGTGACAATGTCCCAAGTAAAACTGCAGTAGTGGCTTGATGCTGTTCTAATCTACTGTTTTACTTCTATGTTGTTAGCATTTCCTTTTTTGTGTTGGAAAGTAATTTTTTTTTCATCACAGGGAGATTGTTTTAGTGGGGAAGCATCACTAAATATTCTCTTACCTGTGGTTCCACTAGTAAAACACACAATGCAAAGATCTTCAGGCTTAGGAGGCTAGAGGGAAAAAGCTACATAAGGTGAACAGAGTAAGGATTATGTTGCTTATCAGTATTTACATACACTTCCTAAAGTAGGATGAATCAGGGATTCTGTTTGGAAAAAGATACAAAAAACAACCCCAAACCTGCCAGCCTTCTCTGCTAGCAGCACAGCAAGAGGTCTTTTCAGCAACTATTTTTGCAAGTTTATAATTGTTCCACAGAGGTACTTACAACTGGCTCTCTGATGTTGTTTCTTCCCAGCTCCTGCGTTAAAGAGAAAATGCAGCTTAACAATTGCAACAGAAAGATGTGCAACTACGATAGATGAATAGGTAATTACACTTCAAATATAATACTTGATTTACTTTGCCTCTTGATACTGTGTCTCGGAGACAAACACTAGTCTTCCTGAATTAAATACGCACTGACTCCTGGGGTTGTAGAAGTGATTTGAGTATGTAGAAAGTGATCAGAACTACTTAAGGAATTTGGAATTCCTGAGTGGAGATATTTCATTTTATTTGATGTAGGCTACATCTCTTATACTTCACATTTATGCATCATATCTGGAAGATTAAGCCTAGTATTGGGATGTCAAAGCAGTCAGTAACTTGCACTTCCAGTTTCAATTAGACTCAACTGCCAGCTTAGAAGCCTGATAAATCCTGTTACAACTGCACCATGAATTAAGCTAAGGAGGTCTTCAGTTTGATGCATACTGACTCTCCACAACAGATGGACACAACTTTAGCCAATGATTTGAACTCTGCAAGTCCATTTGGCTAAATATATCAAGTTTCAAAGTGACTGCTCATCAAGATCTCAGGTATAGGTGTGACAACTGGATAATGCTTACATTAGAGTGTCATTGTTGATAGAGAAGTTCCAGATGTCTAGCTGACAACATATTCCTCTGCAAGATCAAGCAGAAGCCTTTAGTCACCTACCTCAACTTCCTGCAGTGCTAGAATTTCAACTCCCACTTTAGCTCCTCTGTCCTTGAGCTCTTTATCAAAGAGATCCATGAGAATGATAGTCTTCAGACATGGGGACTTTTCTTGCTCACAGTTCTCAAGCAAGATCTGCACCTTCTCAGGTTTGTCACAGATCACAATGCTTATGTCAGCTACAGAAAAGAAATTACATTTCAGAAGTCTGTTTAGAAGACATGAGGCTAGTGAGCAATAGCTCACTAGCACAGACTTTTAGAACATAGCATTGGTTTGTTCCAAGGCCATTTGCATTTGTTCATACGGATTCAGTGGCTGGCTTACAGTGCTAAGAAGGTTCCTTCTATAATGGCCAACTGATGGGGCAAACTTAAGATTATAGCTATACAAAGAAAGGGCAAATGCCGAGGAACTGACGACAAATATCTTCAGTCATGGCCAAGATAGGCATTTAAACTTTTGGTATTGCCATAAAAGCTCAGAATTGTCCCCACTGGTTGTGTAGGTTTAGCCATCTTCCTTAAATATAAGGAAATTTAGGCCTGTTTGAAAGCGGTAGATAAAAATTCTGAGTTAATGCCTCAGCTCCCCTGCATGTGCAGGAGGGTTTTATGCAATTACAAAAGCATGTCCCATTAAGTCAGCAGAGGAATTGGATTTGCCTGAACATGCTGGTCCCCCATTAGCCTAGTAAGTCACAGCTGTATAGTCCCAAGGCAAGACTTGTTTGCAAGGTTCACCAGCATAACTGTTGAAGGGATTTGCTTGGCAAATCCTGTTTATGGGTTGGATCCCAGGTCATTGTGACAGCAGTGGATATTTTTTACCCCTGCATCTCCCCTAAGACTGGGGGAAGAAAGTTTGAAGATTTATTCAAGCTTTCTCACCAGTTTCTTCCATGATGGCATGCTAGTTGTTGCTTGTGTAGAACAACAGGCCCTAACTAGATATGCCTAAATCTATTTAATCTATCTTTACCCCTCTATCCTCCACTCTTTACATCCTACAACTTTAAATCAGGAGACACACGTTGAGTCTTAATTTGCATGCAAGCCTGTCTGCATTGTCTGATTATTTGGCAGTGCAGGAGTTCAAGATTGCAAAATCTCAAATGGCAAATAGTTGAGCACTCTTATTGCAGGATGATCCACAGGATCTAGCAGGTCTTCAGTGGACTTGCACTTGAGATGCTAGGAGACATAGGAAGTCCACTGGCTTTTTCTAGGCATTGAACCATGTCCCCTTGCAAAGCAGCTTCATTTACAGAAATTAAGTGTCTATAAAAGTATAACAGCAGTAAGGTTAAAGCTACTCTGATTTTTGCATCAAATTCCCTTGAACGTCAGCCTTCTCAAAACAAAGCTTCTTAGAGGAATCGTTATGAAATACTGGAATTCATTATTTACCTTTGTTAACAATATATATAATGGCCTCTGGCCCCAGAGTGTCGTAGAGCGGAACAGCAACCATTGAGTAAGTGTAGCAGGCATACTCTGAAATGATCCACTGAAGAGAGAAAACAGTACAGCTAAGGAAAACTAGCAGCTCACAAGACAGGATTACCTACAGGTTTCATACAGCTTGACTAGCCTATGCACATTAGTAGTGGGGGTTGCGTAAGGAGCATGTTCATGGGATTCTTAGAATAGTTAGGGTTCAAGATCACTGTACTACAATGCCTGGCATTGTGTGTGCTCAGTCACTAATAAAGGAACCTGGAAGGGAAAAGTCAGTTGTGATGGTTCCTCACGTGGCCTCAAGCTATTTAAGTGCAGACCCTCTTCTCCCCAGGGTGTCAGAATATTCTGGAAAAGAATATTCAATTTCTTCCTTACCTCTGGCCTATTCTGAGCAAAAATGCCAATAAACTGGTTTGATGATGGTTTGCATCCTTTTTGCAGAAGCCCTGATCCCAGGTATTGAGCTCTGTCCAAAACCTGTAAAATAGTTTTCCCCCACTTTAGTGTTACAAAGCAGTATCCCAAATTAAATAATGTCATGTACAATACTCACCTGTTTATACGTCAGCCACTGGTAGGGTTGGTTGGGTTTTCTGTAGCCTAAACAGCTGCCATTTTCTAATGGAAGAGTTCAGAAAAGCAATCGTAAAGCTCAGTACTGAAGTTGCATGGCACTTCAGTGCAACACTTTACATGAGCAATACTTTCAGTCAGACATCCAGCTAACTGCATGGAGCATGGAAGTGCACAGTGTCTATAGCTAAGCACTCTGCCCGAACCAAGTTTGTAAGACTTTTGGCTTTATCCTTACAAGCAATACTTCCAAGATCTGGTGATACTTTCTGATTTCACAACCCACATGAGACTGAAATAGCTTGCAAGCTATCATGTATTTCTATGCATGGGACTCCTGAAGTCACGTGCACAAATTCCAACCTGTGGTAAACAGGCAGTAATTTTACACTAAAACCCACATCATAAGACAAAGCAGAGGTGTTCTCGCCCAACTCCTTCTGATGCTCAGTATCTGCTAACCCTTCACTGAACTCTACCTTCTTAAGCCTCTGATGCTTGTTCCTGCCCAGTCTGCCAACTAAGACTACTTATGTGTAGTCTTCGTCAGGGTGGGGGGGATAAAATATGGTCACTTGCCACTCTACCCAACAGAAGCCTAGGAAAGCTTTTGCTAGCCGGACTTATTACAACAGACAAGAGGCAAGGCAAAAGAGCTTGGAATAATTTTTATTTACTTGATACACAAGTACTAAATAGCAGATGCAAAGCTTACCAGAAACATGCAGTCCTCTCTGGAAAACTTCATACAGGGTTTTACCATCTTCAAAGTAGTAAGACAGCAGGTTATTATCTGTCAAAAGTGCACCTCTTCTGGCTCCTCCCTAGGAACAGAACATAGTTATGAAACAGTGCAGGACAGATGCAACGTCATTTGTTCCTCAGTCATTCTCCCAGCAATCTCCTTTAAAGCATTTCAGTAGCACTGCATTGTTATGGAAGTCTCATTTTCCTTCTTGATTTTGATCTAGTCAGTCATCAGTCATATGCAGGGGAATTTTCTAGATGGCCTAGCTTAATATTCAATTACAGGTTATTAGGGAGATCTTGCCTAAGATCAAGTGCTACCACTTGCCTGGTTACATGAAGTCTAGCACCAACCTCAAAGCTGATGCAAAGCATTTAAAGAAATGTTCAGACAGAAAAAAAGTCAGTGACAGCCAAGGCCGTATGGTAAAAAGCCCACCTAACCCTGCAGCAAGAGCTGCTCTTTCTTACTCTTAGTGTCTTAAGACTTCCCTTCTCCCCACCATATTGTTGACTTGTACACCTGGGAAAGAAGGCTGTGTATATCAGAGGAGAGTTGCCACAGATACTCAGAGTCAGAATGGATTGGTATTCAGATTAAGCTCAAAAATAGCCTATGCCCACAACCAGAGTAAGTATTACCTCAATTCCTATTGACTGCTTGTTCAAGTCAACAGGAGGCAAAACAGGTTTTGGCCTGCTTATCACCCACAGGAAGATGCCAGCTCCAAATGCAATAAGACTAATCAGTGCTGGTGTTGGCAGCGGTGAGAACAAGACTTGAAGTATCCAGATCATTGTGCTGGGTCAGTGGAGCCAGAGTTGAACCTGAAACAAACAGGAGGTTTAGTAAACATGAGTTAGAAGCACTCACTACCTATGAGCCACGGTTACTTAAGTAGTTTGTTAAGCAATAGTACAAATCATTTCAGCAGTTTGCCCCTAAAGAGTCCTGGTACAATAATGAAGCATGCTTATGCAATGCTTTAAACCTCTTAAGAGATCTCAAGTCACCTGTCCCCATAAATCGTAATCCATGCTGCATCCACTTCCACAAAAAGCTGAAGCCTGATGAAGTCAGGCAAAGAACAAATGTCAATTCTTTCTATTCAAGAGTAAAAATCTGCCTGGGGAAAACCAGTATATAATTTCACAGGTTAAGTATAACCAAAAAATGCCTACAGTTCAGTGATGTGAGAAGTGGAAGAAAGAAGACTCCTCTATATTATAGCTGTACAAAGGAGGAGGTATTGCTAAAATAGTAGGGGTAAATAATTGCCAAATTACAGGTTTGTTACATCTACATATATAAATCTGCAGGACAAGCAGTCTGGATAAGGCTCAGAGGCTTGTCATCAAGTCCAAGCTGCCAAGAGCATACCGCCTACATATCTGAAAAGTACCAACTCCTTAGACCTCTTTTCTACTCTAAGCTTCAGTTACAATGTGCCCTTCAAACTCCTGACCTCAATTTCATGTATTGAGAGTCCAAAAAAATTGTGCTACAGCAAGAAAGGCGGGAACTGCTCTTGGCATTCTGCACTGACCCACCGTTCCAGTCACTGGGCATATCAAACATAGGAAGCACAAACCTGCTCTTTCTGCAGCACAGGATATCATCCATCTTGACACCTTTCCTCTGGGCCTTTATCAACTGAGCCTGGAGAAAAAAATGCCCTAAAACCAGGTTCGCTGATCAAGTTTACGTTCAGAGCAAAGCCACTTAACAGTTTACGTTCTAGCACTGCTCTGTTTGGAAGACTGAAGATTATTAAAGTGAATTATTAAATGCTCATGATGATTTATACATTTATACATTCGGCCTTGTAACCCATTACTGGAGCAGTTAGTAAACAGCTTTCTGTAGGTGATTAAGCAGTATCTGGTTTATGGTGCAAGCCAGCCACTTCCTCTTTTGTTAACACGAACAAGTCACTTTTGTATAACATGGGCACTGAGGCAGCTTGGTAGAGGCACCTCCACTCTCCAACATGAAGAGAAGTTGGATATGCAAGCTTTATTCCGGTAACTCAGAGCCCACTACTAGATCCAAGTGACAGAGCAAATCACATTTGCACCATGTGTATGTTGGAAGCTTAGCTTGTTAGAAGTTGGCAAAACTAGACCTTGGCACATCTATTCTCACATCTTTTTAGAAGAATATGAATACTCATGTTCAACTCCCCCGAATTTTGATTAACAGCAATCAGCTTGGGCTATTTTCTAGTCTTTTTCCATCCCCAGATGGGCCAAAAGGAGTTTCCACTCGGTGCATTTCAGATGACTCTTCCCTGGATATGAAATTTTTCGGTTAGCAGTAGGAGAAGAGCTATACGCAGGCAACTGAAGAGACCACAGGCCTGTACAGCTGTACTAGTTTTAATGGCTGAAGTGTGCTCTCGTGCCAATTTTAATAGTCATTTTAAAGACAATTTCCTGGAAACCAGGAAGGATTGGTTGCCTGTAGAGTATCGTGCTAGAGCTAATAAACAGAACTGGGGATCAAGTCTATAGCACCAAGTCCTCTACTATGACTTATTAACACTGCTTAGCATTAACACTGCCTAATCAGACAGATCGGTGCAGTTGTCACAAATAGCTCCTGTCTGTTACATGGACTTATTTCACAGAAAGTTAGCAGAGGGCATTTGTCTGTCCTTTTTGTGGTAAGGATCAGAGAACCCACTAACCCCAAATGCTCCATGCAGCAGTAGATAAGTCACTGAAAAACTTTCCATCAGGGTATTCTCATCTCCTCACTGACTGACATTCAAACCAGTTTGTGCCAAGACATCTAGGAAGACTGAACATCAGGCCCTGAAGAATAATGATGCTTGCAGCAGAGAACTCAAAGTCTAGAGAGAACACCTGATCAAGTAGAGAAAAGCCGGAAGGTGATTAAATGCAGTAAAGCTTTTGCCTTCAGATTCTGAATTGACTCCACAAGTCCCTCACATAGAGAGAAAGAGAAACCAGACAGTAGTCTAATCCCAGTGTAACCTAACCAGCATCTCTACAGCTAGTCAAGGATGATTTTCAGTTATAGGCCAAGTGGATTTTTAATTTAAGGAAAGACCTGTTGTCAAGTTTATCTCTAAAGTCTGGGAACTATTGTATGCTCATTTGCTTCTAGGTTTTAGGGGTTTTTTTAGTAAGTGCCTTCATTAGCCTGCTTACAGCACTGAATGAGACTTACATGTGAGAGTCAAAACCTAACATCCTTTAAAGCTACAGAAATTAGTGCTATGTCAAAAAAGCACAGATGCCTAAATCTTGTTTGCAACACACACACAAAAAAATGCTTTTCATGTCTGAAAGACTATTTTCAATTTCCCTACTTTAAAAATAGGATAATGGCAGTGTTTTGCTTTTACTTTCCAACCATGTTTCCTCAGATGGGTTTTAGTCACTCCTATAGGGTGTGTTATTCAAGCTGTGGCAAGAGACTGTCAGCAAATCCATCTCAGTTCCCAGCACTAGGACAGTTGTTTCCTATGCCTAGAGCTTCTACTGTAACTACCTGTCAAATCCAAGTCACTGCTAGTTAATCGCCTCTGGTATCCTCCAAAAGCCACTTAATCCTGCTGCCTTCAAAGCAGAAGAGTGAGCAGAGAGTCTGTACTTCAGAGTTTTCTGTCCATGGGAAGAGAACAGCTCTACCCTACTTCTGTCCTAAGGAGCAACTACAACCAGAGCTTAACCACAAATCCAAATGCCCTATATATACATAACACCTGATCTATATCAACTGAGTGAAAACTCGACTCAGTGCAGCATGAGACAAAGCCAGGGCATTTTTGACAGACACCAGCTTCCACTGCAGGGCAAGTCTGGGCACCAGCTGCTTTCTTAAGCATGTGGGGAGCAGGGGGTGGAATGCTTGAAACCCCTGAGTTTTGAAGGGCTCAGCTCCCAGTGACCAGTAAGATACAAAATGCACAAGATGTCTCAAACCACCTATTAGTCCTCTTGTGCAATAAGATGCAAGACAGTTGAAGTGTACTTGGGTTGTCTGCCCTGATCAATGGTCGGGGATAAGATGCACTTGTCTCTGGAGTGCAAAGGCTTAGTTTTTTATCAGAAGAGATTACAGCGATACCATTTACTGCCTTTGAGTTCAGGAGTATGTGTTCTCACTTCTACTGTACACCTCCTCTTCCACTGAGTCTACAGCAATTCCTTCACTAGCTAGAAGGAATGAAACAGTTATTCTCTATTCTCTTCAAGTCAGGACGTTCTCTCCACTGGAAAGTGATTGAGCTTTGTCCCTCCAAGCACATAAGTATGAAGAAATACATCATTGTCATCTCCATCACAGTAGTTTTTTACAGACAGCAAAGCAAACTCTTATACTTGCACAATTTCAGAAGCAATGGTCATGCACTGCCTAGGAGAATGTTTTCTAGAATTATATTCTTTCTCTCAAGTTCACCTAAGGAACAGTTTGCATAAGCTTCTGAGGTGATCATGACATCTTGTTCATCAGCATTAGTAAGGTAACATTGACTCTTTCTAAGCAGGAAGAGTGGAGTACAGCAACAACACTGGGATCACTAATTAGTTAACCACTAGTAGCTCACTCTACATTTGCTTACACAGTGCGGCTCTTGCCTGGTGTCCTGCAGATGTGAGCCACTGTGCCAGTTCTTACTCCTTGGAAGCATTATATCCCATCTTCCTCCAGCTGCAGCAAGGAGTTGTCTTGTGTTCTGCAAGGTTTAGGAACATCTAACTTTTAGGATCCAGAGAGAAGCTGAAGTGCAAAAGCTCAGCAGTGACTACTGAAAAGAGCCATGTAAAAATCACAAAGCAAATTCCACAGTAACTTGCATTAAGCCTGAGATGCACTTTAGTTAGGCTTTGCTTTCAGAGTACCTCTTATGAAAGTCAGAGCCAAACAGTTCAAGTATCCTTTGATCTCTGCTGAGAAGCACTCTGCTATGGGGTGGGAAAGAACAAGGCCTCCGTAACTGACTCTGAGGAAGTATAGTGCTCTGTGGTTTCAGACTACATGTTACAGGCTATTTCTACACCTTGCTTATGAAATCTGTTGAGCTCAGGCTTTTAGTATACTTAAATAGAAAAACCATTTTTTGTAAAGAATTTTTCTATATCTGATATTACTGTCCTCCATCAGGAGCGCAATGACACCGTGACACTGCTTAGTACTGAAAGTTGTTTTGTCAGATAAATTTAAAAGCCAAGCCTTCATATATGCTTTTATATCAGGTTTTCTCCTTGAAAACTACCTACTCAGAAAGATAGAACATATTCAACTAGCCCTTTAAAGTTTTGAAAAGTTTAAAAAGAGTCAGTATAATGGGTTCTGTTACTGCTTATCCTGTTAGATAATACAGGATCACAATCTTGCAAAACTTGCATGCATCAGCATTATATTAATAGGAAATTATCTCTAGACACACAACTAACATGGTTTAAAGAGCTAGAACTAACGCTCAACAATTCACACAGAACTCCTAATGAAGTTAGGATATCATCATTAAGCACCTTACATAGCTGCACAGAGAAAAGGTAGCACTAAAAACTCTGAGATACTAATGTCTTTTATCACTACGTATTATTATAGCACTTACATTACAAAGAGCAAAGAGTAAACATATACCTGAACTTAACTCAGCCTAAGGTTAGCATCTAACTGATACCACACCACCAGAGATTACCTAGCAAGCTCCCGATAAACTCATTATCTTGAGCCCTGCAGCTAACCACTGCATTTGCACATAGGGTACAGTAAAGCCCATGTGAGTGACAAGCAGCAAGCCCATTAGCAATAAAAC